AGACTTGTTGCACAAGGATACCGCCAGGAAGAAGGCATAGACTATGATGAAACATTCGCTCCAGTTGCAAGGATTGAAGCAATCCGAATGTTTCTAGCCTATGCAGCACATAAAGGATTCAAAGTCTACTAAATGGATGTCAAGTCTGCCTTCCTCAATGGTAAGCTTCAAGAAGAAGTCTATGTGCAGCAGCCTCCTGGGTTCGAAGATCCAAAACATCCAGAGTATGTCTACTTTTTGGATAAAGCTCTTTATGGGCTTAAGCAAGCACCCCGRGCCTGGTATGACACTCTATCCACCTTTCTCATCAAAAATGGTTTCGAAAAAGGTACAATCGATACAACACTCTTTCTTAAAAAGCACAAAGGTAATATTCTACTWGTTCAAATATATGTGGACGACATTATATTTGGATCTACTAATACAACACATTGCGAAAAATTCTCAGAATTGATGACAAGCACATTTGAGATGAGTATGATGGGAGAACTCAGCTTCTTCCTTGGTCTTCAAATCAAACAAATTCCAGAAGGAATTTTCATAAAATCAGTCCAAATATGTAACTGATCTTTTACAAAAATACTCTCTCTCAAATTCATCATCAATGAGAACTCCAATGGCTACAGGAACTAAACTTTTTGCTGATCCATCAGGCAAATCTGTAGATATCACAACCTATAGAGGCATGATTGGATCACTCCTGTATCTAACTGCTAGTAGACCAGATATTATGTTTGCCACATGTCTTTGTGCTAGATATCAAGCTAATCCTAAAGAATCTCATCTCTCCGCAGTCAAGAGGATCTTTCGATATCTTAAAGGGAATCCCTCATTGGGTCTCTGGTATCCTAAAGACTCTAGCTTTGATCTGATTGCCTATACAGATGCAGATTATGCAGGATGCCAACTTGATAGAAAGAGTACAACTGGAAGCTGTCAACTCTTGGGAGACAAGCTGGTAAGTTGGAGCTCCAGAAAACAAAACTGTGTCTCAACATCTACAGCAGAAGCAGAATATGTTGCTGCTGCTAGCTGTTGTTCACAGGTTCTCTGGATGAAAACTCAGCTCAAGGATTATGGTTTTCATTACGATAAAGTCCCAATCCTCTGTGACTCTAAGAGTGCCATTGCAATATCTGCAAACCCAGTCCAGCATTCCAAAACCAAGCACATCGATATYAGGTACCATTTTCTRAARGACAATGTTGAAAAAGGCAACATAGAAATGTTCTTTGTTCCAACTGAGATTCAACTTGCTGACATTTTTACAAAAGCTCTTGACGAAAAACGATTTTTATTCCTCGTTAGCAAGATGGGTATGCTGAATCTCACCACTTAAAGACAACAATTCTAACCAACAATAATCAATATTGTCTGGTTCTGTCTATAAGTGTAAAATAAAAAAAATTATTAAAAATAAAAAATTTTGACCAGAGCCCCTCTGGTCCTAATGCACAAGTGTGGCTTGTTCAACCAGAGCCTCTGGTTCCAAAGACCAGAGCCTCTGGTTCCAAAGACCAGAGCCTCTGACTTCCCATTCCATAAAAGCAAGTCCCTCTTTTGCACCCAGAGCCTCTGGTTCTAAAGACCAGAGCCTCTGGACTCCATCCCTCATTCTCTTTGAAAACAGAGCTCCTATGGTACTAATGTACAAGTGGTTTAAAGTACCTCGTGCCACTTGGGTCATTTTTTTTACAATCAGAGCCTCTGGTTCTAAAGACCAGAGCCTCTGGTTCCAACTTTGGAAGCATTCATCTTTTCCACGAGTTTGTATCTAAAAACCAGCGCACCTCTGGTTTCTATTCATCCAGAGCCTCTGGTTCCAAATACCAGAGCTTCTGGTTAAGACATACACGCATTGCTTCATTAATCACAACCAGAGCCTCTGGTTGTATTGACCAGAGCCTCTGGCCATTGATATCTCATAACCAGAGCGTCTGTGTCCAAGTTGCGAGTATTGTTTCATCATCCTTCACAACCAGAGCTTCTGGTTGTATTGACCAGAGCCTCTGACCTTACAAATGTCACCCCTTCTTGATTCTAGGGGGAGTTTTCTTAAAAACTACCCATGCATCATTTGAGGGGGAGTACCCAACTCAACCAGAGCTCCTCTGGTTCCCCCACATTTGTTTAACCAGAGCCCCTCTGGTTCCCCTCATTGTCATGTTTAACCAGAGCTCCTCTAGTTCCCCCCACTTGTCATGATTAATCAACACTCCTCCACTTACATGGATTTCTTATTTAAAACTCATTCATCTTGAAACCAGATTTTTAAAGATTATCCAAACTTTGAAGTTTTACACTTCTAAAACTTCTTAATTTGTATTAATCTTTCATTTAAATGAGTTTTTAATTAGTTTTCTTTTTCCCGCCTACACACTATTTGGAATGGCTCTTCATTTCAAAGGCTCATGACGTCACTAAGACCACGCGCCTGACATCCATAACCCTGTTCCCTAGAAGCCGTTCACCCTTTTCACATTCCCTTCCCCCACTTGACACGTGTCCTCTTCATTAATGGCATGTCTTCTCACACACGCTCATGCGCCTGACAACCCATACGTTTTTCATGATTATTCTTTTATAATAATCAAACTAAAACGTTTCACTAACCACCCTACCCCCCTTTCTACCCTACTACCCCCCCCCCATTATCCTACCCTATAAATACCCTTCTTCCCCAACTCTTCTACTCTTTACGCTTTCTACAACCTGCAACTTCTCAAACCTGTCTTCCTCAAAACCCTAATTTCTCAACCATGGCTTCTTCCGCCTCATACGACTCCAACAATGACGACAGTCGCGTCCAGTCCACCGGAGCCGACAGTCGAGCATTAGTCTTCCTTCCTATGCGTCCAAACAACCACGCAATCGACCTCATCAAAGCCAATTTTGACTCAAGGTACAGCATCATAATCGAGTTCTTCAAGAACTATCTTCTTCTTCCCGCCCTTACTCTCGTCAATCTAAAGGTCCCCATCAATTTTGTCCAACAATTTTGGCAAAACTGTGAATATGACGACGAGAGTCGTGGAATAGTAGGTGACATTGACATACCGGTTGACCAGATTTGCACGATTAGAGTCTCGAGATCCGCCATTTCCAGAATATTGCATATTCCTACTCGACGAGAGCTCGAAATCGAGCAATATGTTGATCAACCCTCCTCTGAGGATATCATATGATTTTTACGCATGCTGGGATACAACAGACCACTACCAAACCTCTCCAACTTCAAGAGGCAATTTCTCCCTCCCAAGTGGAACCTCTTCTTCTCCATCCTGAATCGGTCTCTCACCTGCAAACTTGGTTCCTTAGACCAAGGGAACTTGAACATCCTCACCATTATGTATGGACTCTTCCACCACCTCCACCTTGACTATGCACTCCTCATTTACAACGAAATACACTCTGCAGTGGTCAAGAAGTGCAAGTTACAAGCAGCGGGAAAGCCTCTGTCTGCTGTGTTGTTCCCTAGATTCATTGCCCTCATCGTTGGGGATGCAATGAGGCACAACAAAATCAAAGGCACACCCCCATTCACCACTATCTCAAAGATGCAGAGCCATCGACCCACCATCGTCAAGGAAGGATACCCCATTGATCGCCCTTTGCCTCACACCATGCTCTCCATCATACCATCGACGAATGAAGTTCGTCAAGCCTATGAACGCTCCATGCTATCCCAAGAACCGAGGATAGCTACCCAGGAGCACTTAGAGCCGTCCTCTACACCATTCGAGGGAGCCACCGCATCATCTTCATCGGATGATGAAAATGATGATGATGATGATGATGCAAGTGACTCCCACGGCCCTCAAATACGCACTTCCCTTCCCACTTCCCAAAGGGTACCCACATCATCTATCCCTGGCGATCAAAGCCAAAGGGATATTGAAATAGGACAACCCAGTCCAACCCCAACCCTACCTAGCCATCCAGAGGCCACTCTTCGGGCCTCTGGACATAGACAAGCTGAGGAAGCACATCTCCCATCACCCCTCTCTCAACAGAGAGGTGATGCTGACATAAGAGTCCCATCGCCTCAGGACTCGACACTCCCCTCTACACATACAGAAGCATGTGTTGCTACTGACATTGTTCCCCCATCCATTCGCGCACAACGCCCCTCGGTATTTGATCTACCGACGGGGAAACACATCATCTTCTCCTCCTCTGAGGAAGAGGAAGATGATGTTTCAACATCAGAAGATAGTTCTTCTCTTGAAGGCTATCGAGGAACCGATGGAAGTCCTTCGAGGCCTGCATTCACACAAGGCCAAGAAGGCGCCTCTGGAACAGAGGCCCAACCTGCAGCATCTGTTGCTGCAGGGGTTACCCCATTTGCGGATCTAGTCACTAAGGCTGAGTTCCAGGCCTTTGTTGATTTAGTTACGCGGTCCTTGGATGACCTTAAACTCCTAATCCAATCGATGGTGGCACCCCAACCCTCAACCCCCACTACCACCATCGACCAATCCCTCGCCATCCTCCAGCGCCAAATAAACCAAATCAATGACCAAGCCCAAACCACCTMTTCYYGCCTCCAAATGCTCCAAAAGATGATCACCCAAAACCAAAACACCACCACCTCCCTTGCCACCCAACGCCACCAACAAATCATCGAATCCATCATCACCCTCAYGGCTCAGCAGTCTGAGACCGATGAGAACCTCACCCACATCATCTCCCAAATCCAAAACCTTACCCGCCACCTTCATCAACTCCCAACCACCTTCACATCCCAAATTCCCCACCCCACCCAACCTTCCACTTCCTCATCCCATGACCCCCTTGCCCCTATCACCCAACAACTCTCCACCATACAAGCCACCCTCCAGAACCTCCCTGCTACCATCCTTGCCCACATCCCTCACCCCACTCCACCGCCTACTCCCTCTGCAGTACCATCCTTTGAAGATGCCTTCTCTACCTTTACTGCAGAGGTAAGACAACTCATCACCAACCTTCCCCATCCACCACCCTCTACCACCTCCACAATGCCCCCACCCCCATCCACCTCCACCTCAGACTTCGCCACAAAGGCAAACTTACAGGCGCTCTCCAGGGCACTGGTCTCCTCATTCAACGAGATCAGTGCTAAGTTCATTCATCGGGCCATCACTCCAACACAGGCTCTCACACGCTCTATGGCCGATGAACAAAGACGCACGTCATCCCTTCTCAAGACCATGGAAGCAAATCGACGACAGGCTGCACTGCAGACCTATCTCAGGTCTTTTAGGGATGCCAAGAAAAAGAAGAGGTCTCCTGCCTCGTGTTCAAGCAGCCGACCGCCCAAGCGCCAAAGACACGATGAACAAGACTCTAATGATCAGGGCCTTGGTCCTCGTGAGGGGGAGACAACGGCGGCTGCACAACCAGCGCCTGCACAACAAGAACACCCACAACCAACATCACCACAACCATCATCACCACAACCATCACCAACACCCCAAGCAACCCAAGCAAGGGAACCAGAGATTATATTCTATGATGTTCAACCCATTACTCAGGTTCCCTTTTCTACATCACAAGACCCCATCGTCTTGAGTTCCTCAAGCGATGAGGAAACCCAACCTGAACCCCAACCATCAACCCAAACACAAACCCAACCTCAACCCCAACCATCAACCCAAACAGAAACCCAAACACAACCCCAACCTTCATCACCTCAACCTGAACCTTCACAACCCCAACAAACAGACCAACCCACTTCACCCACCAACCAGCCTACCTCACCAGAACCCACAAACCAACAACCAACCAATGAACCTCAGACCACCCAAACAACCACCATGCAACCGACAGATATTCCCTCCTCCTCAAGGCATCCTCCTCAAGGCCTTGTGGATGAAATCATTCAGAGTATGGAATCAATGAGATGAAGACCGCCTATGCCGCGCAGGGAACCCGTCATGATGGAAAACATCCATCAATATCTTTATAGAGATTGCGATGAAAGTATGTCAAATGCTCCAGTCTTATCGCCAGAATCAATGGACCTCCTACATCATCGCTTCATAAGGCAAACAACTCAAGACCCACGAGCGGTCTACTCGGATGATGGAATAAGGAGAGTTGTGGACATAAAGATCAAGTCCCTTGCCAACAGAGCTATTAGATACGTCGAGTTCACTGTGGAGAGAGCTCATAGGGTCATCAGCGTGTTCAACGAGAATGACCTTCTAAATCTTAACCCATATGACTTGATTGAATTGTATGGTTATACAGCTCAAAGGCAGGACCACGGCATAAGATTTGGAGTGGCAAACAGAGCGATTACAAAGACGATGGAGACCCTGGTCAAGCACAGAGCCAACACAGATTTTGAGATCGCTTTCAGGCTAGGCATGGAAAGGATATCTTGTACTCCTCCAAACGAAGAACTCCAAGGCCTGCAAAATATACGCTCTGCCTCCGTCTTGTCTCAACCCGAACTCGGACTTGTTTACAAGGACGAGTTCGAGGTGAAAAAGTTCTTCAGAATAACTGAAGCCTTCAAGTATTCAAATGAAACACTTGAATGGTTTCAAAGAAACATTCGAGACAGACTTGGTAGGAGCCATGTGCCGAGGGAGGTGGGAATTCAGCTCATACAAGAAATATCTAAAGTCATCGACTACAGGAAGCTACTTCTACGCTTTCAAGAAATATACACAGGTAGTCCTTGACAAATTCTTTTGTATTTTTTTGATGTACTTTTTACTTTCCATTCATGTAAAGAATTTATCAACCAATAAAAATGGAATTTGATGTCTTTCTGTTTAGTTCATTGTATGTTCTTCATATGCCTAGACTAGAATTTGTTATTTCATTACTTAGGGGGAGATTGTTAAACCCCACAACTCATAATGTAAAAAGTAATGAAAAACAACTAAGTGTTGAAGAACCAGAAGACCGATGAAGACATCAAAGTACAAAAGAACAAGTCTGGATCGATGGACAGACAGACCAGAGCATCGATGAACAGACCAGAGCATCGATGGACAGACCATTCATCGGTTGAAGAATGAACAGTAAATCGATGGACAGACCAGAGCATCGATGGACAGACCAGAGCATCGATGGACAGAACAGAATATCGATGGACAGACCATTCATCCGTTGAAGAATGAACAGTAAACCGATGGACAGTTCAACCAGAGGATCGATGAATGATACGATGAAGGAAAGCTTCTCATTGATACAATGGACAGTCTAATACTTAGAAGAATTTCTAAGTAATCATCCTTGCATACCTTGAAGACTTAAAAATAAGGATGAAAGTGCCATGTCAATAATGACAGCTGGAGATGACAAATCTACAGCTGGAATTATAGTTCATGTTTCCAATAATGCTTATCCATGTGAAAGAAGCACTATAGACTTATAATAATCTATTTGCTGGAAAGAGGCACTATAGACTTATTATAATCTATTTGCTGGAAAGTAGCACTATGGACTTATAATAGTCCATATGTTGGAAAGTAGCACTATGGACTTATAATAGTCCATATGCTGGAAAGTAGCACTATGGACTTATAATAGTCCATATGCTGGAAAGTAGCACTATGGAATTATTATAGTCCATTTACTGGAATGCAACACTGTAGAAGCACTATAGAGTTATTCTAGTATTTAATCATCTAGTATAAATAGATGATTAAGTCCATTGTAAACAGTACGCTTGAAAGAGAGAGAGGCTTTTACTAACAGCTTTACATTCTAATATTCAGATAGTAAAACCTTTGAAGCTCAGAATTGTTCTTGAATATTCTTATTTTTTATTCTTGAGACTTCGCATCTTACTTCGTCAGATTACAGTAATTCAGTTATTCCTAACTAGATTATTTGTATTATCGAGAGATCTGGGATCAACAAATACACTCGCGACTTACTCAATTTTTACAATTTGTGTTCGTGATCTTTATTTTTATAGACTTGAATCTGGGATCTACAAACAGAAACCTCATGATTTTGTTAGGCCAAATCGACCAACAACACCTAATTTGTATGCAACAGTTCTAATTCAATGGATCTTGGATAAAACAAGAATTAGGGAAGACAAAAACGATAATAGTCATAGAAAAGAGCAATATAGCCCGAGTCTTGAATATTAACAGAAATGATCGAACTCGTAACAGGGAATGAACCAGATCGAAGCACTCCTTCACATATCAAGCCCTTGAAGCTCTATACCATGTTCAAACTCGTAGTACTATATACCTCAGTGACTTATTACAAAATATAAACCAAACAAATCTAAACTACTACAATGGAATATAGTATAAATACCAATTCTAGAGAGAGAGTGTAAAACTAGAGCTCTAAAATTTACGAATGAAAAATCCTATGGAGAGATGAACGATCACTCTATTTATATTTATCATATTTATAGCAACAATCCTTGAAGTATGTAGAAAATTGCTCTGCTAACCTCCATCTTTGAGAAAAGTGACGAACAATCCCTTAACCTTTTGAGCTTTATCATCTATCCGAACCTATAAAAATAAAAAACAAGAAAGTCAAAATTGTTACCAACCAATATATTTCAACAGTTCTTGCTCCACCAACTTCGATCACATCTTCGCCTGAAACCCACCGTCGCCTCAACTCTTGCCACTCCTCCACGAGTAATGAATTAAGAACCATAGTGATGAAAACATTAATGAATGGTAAACAGCAAAAATATAAATTGTAAATAATAAAGATAAAAATCGTAATTTTAAAATAAAAGAATGAAAATGGCACTTTTCAACAAACTATAGGGACCAAAAATACGATCTACTCAAAATATAATCAACAAAATGGATAGATTCCAGCACCAAAATATCATTCAATCCAACTAATTCCTTAGTGAAAGCAATTGATAACTACCGAATCCTAACCTGTGACTCCTTTGTGGAATTACCATTTCCAAAATTATTTTGGGGAATATATATTGATAAAAACATATTTAAAACATTTATAATTGAAAAATCTATATTTAAGAAAAGTTATTTTAATAAATATTAAATATTATATATAAAGAGATCAGAGATGTGAGTTATTATACAACATTTTATATTTGTACAATTCAATATCAATCATCCATTTAATTTGATAAATATATGATTTCATAAAAGTTTTGATTGTTTCCAATATAAAGTATTAATCATAATTAATAAACTCTAGTCATCTTCTATAAACATTTAAATAATAATAAACGAACTTTTATCATTTCCATAAATATCTCAATTGATAGGGTTGCATTAGTTGTACAAATGTGATAAGTTGCATTTGAAATGTCCTCATATCTATACTATATTATAAAGCATTTGAATAAAACTCTTAAAAACTCTTAAACTCTTAAAAACTCTTAAA